ACTCTGTGTGTGTGACTGTGTGTGTGTGTGTGTGTGTGTGTGTGTGTGTGTGTGTGTGTGTGTGTGTGTGTGTGTGTGTGTGTGTGTGTCGGCTGTAAACACCATGTTGATCTCATCCAGTTGCGTTTTATAGATCTAATAAGGATAAGTGTGACTCTCCTGGGCTTCTTCGCCCTCATCCTGCCCCAATTTTACGCACTGCTGTTATAAAAAAAAACATTGTGGTCTTTAATTTATGAGTCTTTACATGTAGGATCAGATCCTACAAGCCGATTACAGTGGTTTCTTTTCTTTTCTTCTCTTTTTTTCTTCGATTTCAAAATTATGGAAGCGCCGCTCCACGCGCTCAGTTTTGGTTGCATTTAATGGACTAAAATCTATTGGATTTGGTTATTAATAAAACACAATATGATCATTTATTGAAATGTGCTGAAAAAACACGTCATTCTTCTTGTCTCTTTAGGCAAAACACATTTCTCCTGACCTCTGACCCCTAGGAAGAGCCGATAGTGTTCCACATTAACATTCATCGTGCTAACCATGCTTCCTATTTTATTAAAAAAAACACATCTATGTAAAGTGGCATGACATAATTGCTCAAATCCTAAAAGTGTGGGTTGAGTTTCCATGCCGTGCACTGCGTGACAGGAGAAAGGAGATCTGCAGCACAGCACTTTAAAAGCTCCTTCAGCCTCACCTAGCCACAACACTGACGTTAATTGAGCGTTGATTTTAGGATCCCTTTCACTGACTCGGCGGATTACTCAACTTTCGGCTCATGTTCTTGGAGGATATGGATCTCTCTTACATAGTAACCCGTGTAGTGCAAGGGCAGAAAACAAGCGCCACAGTGCAGGGGGCACAAAAGGGATTCGGCCTATTTTCTGCTGTCAACTGAGAAAATGATTGTTAAGAAAATAACATAATCAGTGGATCAGTATGCAGGAGTGTTCTTGTTATTTCTTGCAGATTCAATTTATATATACATATATTTATTTATTTTTCCTATAGTCAAGATGATGGAAAGTTCAAAAACTCTAAACTGTACTCTGTAAAAAGCACGTGACGCTTATGAGCACGTGTGTATTCACATGTGATTAGATCTTCATGTTTCTGGAATTCATCAAAAAACCAGGAGAGAAGTTACAGCCAGAAGTTACAACAGCGCAGCTAAATGGCAACAAACGCAAAGTTCCGTTGAGATGAGGGAGACTTTTTATCCGGTTACGCACGGGCTAAATCACGTCATTTCCAAGAGCTTAAAAACCTTGTTGTAGCCTCGAGCTCGGGCAAAAGTAAGCTCGAGCAACATTTCTTTCTGCAAACTGCACACTTAAAAAAAACGCACACACACACACTTGCTCATAATCATTTGTTTTCTTACACTAACTCACCGTCCACACACACACACATTGATGATTAGTTTTAGAAAAATAGCGCGTAAAGCATTAAAAGCCGCTTTAAAGCTGCTGCTTTTTAACAGTCGCCCCGTGTTTTTCTTCCTCTGTCAGGAGAATGTTTCCAACTTTCCAAGTGAAAATATTTGGGATGGATCCCATGGCAGACTACATGCTCCTGATGGACTTCCTGCCTGTAGATGACAAACGTTACAGGTAACTTTTCATGTGTCTTCAGACAAGTAAAACACCGCTTTCAGTCAGGGCGGGACAGGAAAACATTGTGCTTGTCTTGGTTTTTTAAGACCGACCCTGGGGTATCGAGCAAAATGAGAATAAAAACTTGGAAAACACAACTTAAGAACTTAACAATGAGACACATCCTTTTCAACAATTATCCACGTTATACTGCAAACATGTTGGTGACTAAATACTGACATTAACGATCAATTAAGTGTCTTATTTTTCCCTTTATCTTAAAGCGTTTGGTAGCGTTATGTAGCGTCGTTACTCTTCATACACGCCAACACATGCATAGACACTTTGCATGCCTAAGCGAGCAACTTCTAACCTTGTGTCTTAATTTCCTTTTATGGCCCTCATAGGTATGCTTTCCACAGCTCGTCGTGGCTGGTGGCAGGCAAAGCTGATCCCGCCACACCGGGCAGGGTCCATTACCACCCAGACTCTCCGGCCAAAGGCGCACAGTGGATGAAGCAGATCGTCTCATTTGATAAACTAAAGTTAACTAACAACCTTCTGGATGACAACGGACATGTGAGTACAAAACTGGAATTAAATGAGTGCTCAAGAGGCCCGAGCTTGGCCAGAAAAATCACACAGCGAGCGGGTGCTTTGTCCTCATGAGTTCTCGTTAAATGATAGTGTTCTTCCCCCTAAGAAAATCATTTAAGAAAAATATAAAACCATTTATTTGATTACAGTGATAGTATAGATGATGGCCTGTTTGATTAATTAGAGAGCATAATTTAACATAAAATCACATTTCCACATTAAGCGGTCAAATACAAAAAAATCAAAAGAATTGTTGTATTTATGTATTTATTTTAAATCCCGATAATAATAATAATAATAATAATAATAATAATAATAATAATACAGAGAGATACATTTTCTTCCCGTAAAACCGATCGATATAAGTTATTTTGTAGTAGTTAAAAAACGATATTTTCTCTAAAACTTTGATTTTGCCAAAAGCTTATTTTCTGTCCTCAAACACGGCACCGCACACGAGGCTTTCCTCCAAAAATCCCTGAAAGGAAGTGGAATATTTCACCACTGGAAATGATTTCAAACCCTCCTGCTTGATCTTCCACCACTTTGCATTAGATGTAAAATCAGGAGAGTTTGGGGGACTTAAGCAAATACTGAAAAACAATGATCTGTAACAGATCGAGTGTCCCGAGGATTCACCAGAAAGTTAGTTTTCTTCTGTTATTGCCTAATCGGTGTTTAAATGAGAGCCATCCACATGATATATTCTCAGTCGGCCCTTAAATATTTACAATATTTCTGTTTAGCTAGAACTGTATCTGCATGCCAACGGATTTTAAGGGGAGACCCAGGCTCCCTCGGGGTATTGTGTTTAGATTACCAAATTTGCTCATACAATCGTGGAGATGGCCGACGCGGTAAAAACGTTTCATAGATCGAACCCGGGTCTCATTTGGTCTTGACCACGTTTTACCTTATTCCAGTGCAATTTAAATTAACATTGTCGATTATTTATTTAATTATTCATTAAATCTCTCGTCAGTGATCATTTTCAATCGCATGTTTTGTTTTGGGTTTTTTCTGAAGCATGCGATCAAAGATGATCTTTTTGTACACTTTAAGTCGACGGTCCTTGAGCAGGCTTGCTTTGCTTTTTTTTACAGATCATTCTGAACTCCATGCACCGCTACCAGCCCAGGTTTCATGTGGTTTATGTGGATCCCCGGAAGGACAGCGAGAAATACGCAGAGGAGAATTACAAAACCTTTGTTTTTGAGGAAACCCGCTTCACAGCGGTCACAGCGTACCAGAACCACAGGGTAAGCGACTTTTATGACCCTCCATCTAAATTCAAATACGGTCTGTCGTGCAAGAGAAGCCAGCAACTAAACGCACACAGAAACCGTGTGTTGTTCAAACATGATGCGCGCAGTACAGTTATGCCATGAATAACGTATCAGCACAGAGAGGTAATGTAAGCGTGTTACGTTAAACCGACTTCAGTAACTAAAGACTTTAAAATGTGTATTTTTAACTACTGTTTAATCGAGGCTGTCTTATGCGTTTGCGTAAAAAAATAAAAATAATTCCGCTTTTTTCGCCCAAATGTTGCCTCTGCTCTGTGAGCTCAGCTTGCACCCCATCCCCGCGTGCTCCCTACTCTGTTTTCCATCAGTCCCCGTGTCTGTTTAGATTCAAACATCAGTGCGCTCATCGCTTATTTGGAGCGACTCATAACGACGATAGAAGGAACCTGGCTTCAGTTTTCCTTTCAGCTATTTACACCGAATCCAAGTGTGTGGGAGCCACTGCGTGACGGTGATTAATAGACCCGTTAGCTCACGGAGATAGGACACGGACTAAAAACAAGCCGCTTCTTTTTTGATGCTGAATGTTTATGGCAAATGGTAAATAAATTACTTTTACGCACGAAGGCGCTCTGCGTCTTTTCGTAAGGATTCTTACTTCCATATAAAATGTAAATTGAGCTAAAATAAAAAAAAATGCACATACATTTAACATGAAATATAATAAAATTATATGATGGTGATCATTATGATAAGAAAGCTATTAAAGTGATATTAAAAATAATAACTGACTCTTTTCTTACCCCACATGCAAACCTGTCTGTATATGACATTATATGGGTGTAAATGCTACAGAAGAGCACAATTACATACAACAATAATAATAATAGTAATAAAAGTAATGATAATAATAAATGAAATATACATGATACTGTAGCCATCAAACCTGCATTTAAGGCAGCTGTGTGTGTTATTATGACAGAGTGTTCTGTGTATTACACCTGACTTTCGCTGCTATCCTTTCTAATAAGTAAATGCTGTGATGTAAGCGGGAAAGGCGTTGTGTTTAGCGTTATGACTGATTTTATGCTGCCCTTTACTTTCAGATCACACAGCTGAAGATAGCCAGTAACCCCTTTGCAAAGGGCTTCAGGGACTGTGACCCAGAGGACTGGTGAGCTTTCCAATGAAATATATTAGGCCACCATTTTATTGGCATGTTTCCACATGATTGTAAAAAAAAATTGCACTGCAGAGCAGGCCAGGGCCAGAAAACTTTTGCAAAATAGTTTAGTTGCTTGTTTAATGTCTCACATGGGGCAGATAGGGTGGAACTTGCCACAGGAAAGAACACAAGGTGATGTAAATTGCAGAAATTACTGGATATTGTTTGAAGCTCAGCCAAGTGTGATTTTCTGTCACTAACAGATCATCAGACACTGGCATTTGAGACAAGGTAGCAAAACTCCACCCAAATACTTTACTCAGACAACTTCAACAAATGGAAATACTGCTTCCATGTCTGGAAATGACTCAGATCACTTCATTTTTTAAAACCAGCAATGAGAAATTGCACAGAACTATAGAGGATTGTTTTTATTATTTAACAAAAACATAATCTGAGTAATGTACGGCTGTTCCACATTTGTATTCTGTGTACATTTCATCCGCGAGATTAAAATGTGGATCATTTTAATACATAATAGAGAAACTGTGCCTTTGACATTCATTAAATGAGTAACTGAATCCACTCTCCCTGCTCCAGGCCCAGGAATCACAGACCAGGCTCTCTGCCAATAATGAGTGCCTTTGCCAGAACAAGAAACCCAATGTCATCTCCCCCTCAGCAGAACGGCACAGAGAAAGGTCTGCAGCTCGCTCTTTGTTTCATTTCAAAACTCACGCCGGCTATCAAACATGAAATATAGTCCTGAAAATTCATTCAGCATTTCTAAATAACATCTTTTATTTCAGCTGTCAGTATACTTCACTTCTTCTTTCATTTTCTTTTTTTTTTCTTTCCCCACCTTATCCTTAACAGAAGCCCAGTGATGCATTTGCAGCATCAGGCCAGTGATGGCTTTTAATTAAACATCAAATATCAGCCAGTCAATGTCATCCACTGCAAACATAATAGGGGTTCTTATGTGGTTTTATAACAGACCGCAGCGTCATACCGCAGTAAAGCAGGCAATGGAAATTAGATTTCTTTGACATGACGATGACTGACGTATTTATTAGTTCTATAATAAGAATTAAATCAATTAAATGTTTATAAAAGTGGGAGCTTCCTATTAGCTTTAAATGGTACATTTCATCTGAGAGAAATATAAGCTGGGAAGCTGCTGTCTGGAATTTATTCTGCAACATTTCGACTGAAATGCAGAATTTTTTATTTAAACAATAATGTGACAGACTTCTGTGTACACTTCATAGTTACCTAAACATTGCTTACACTTGTAAAAAAATGCACGTATTTATTGAGCATTATATGCAATCTCTTAACACCTACAAGTCAAAAACACTGAGTATTCAAAAACTTGTACCTGCAGTAATTTATTGTGCTTTTCAGTGCAGAAACTATGAAAATATTGTTAGTGGTGGGTATTTGCATGTTGGCTGACTGTTCTTGTCTCCTTACCTTCACAGAAGACAGTAGGCGGGAATATGAGCGAGACCCCAGCGGCACGCCTATACACGCAGACCCGGCTCACCAGCTGATGTCCCGGGTCCTCAGCCCCGCCCTGCCCGTCCCAGGAGGCCTGCACGCCGTCCCGATCACAAGCGGCCGGCCCAGCCCTCCCCACGACCTTCGGCCAGATCCCCACCCTCTACCCCCGGACACCCTGCACCACCACCCCTACAAGTACCCCACCACCTATGAACACTACCTGGGAGCCAAGACCAGGCCGTCACCCTACCCTTTACCTAGTATCAGAGGACACACATACCATCACCACATGAACCCTGCCACAACTAACATGTATTCAGCCACCAGCGGCCCCTCTAACTATGACTATGGGCCCAGATAATGACTGCTGTCCACCAGGGCTAACAGCAAGCAGCACTGTGGGAATGGAAACAGACAGGAAACACAATCCTGCCTGTCGATGGCTTAAGCAACCTGCAGGGTGCAATCACGGGCTGAAACTCCTTTCTGCTGGATAAACCCTGCTGTATTTATTTAAAGGAAATGCATCTTTGCGTCAACAATGGGCATCTGTTCTAGGCCCCTGAAGAGGTCTGTTTTGACCTTTGAACTGAAAATGGCAATAGGTCTACATCAGGCCACCTCCTACCTGAGCAGTGCAGACATTGAGCCAGCAAAGTGAGGACAGAGGAGAGACCTCAACTTAACACAGACTTTCATCACAGACTGGAATTGATTTTTTTTTTTTGTGTGTTGGATGCACTTTTTGATTTGCCTTGTTTTTATTGCTTTCAAAAAAGCCATATGTTATATAGTCCATCAGCCTTTCTAGGTAGACGAGACGTTTGCATGTCATCAGAGAGAGAGGGTGTGCCGAAACACATTGAAATGTTTTTGTTTGAGGAAAAAAAAAACAAGAAAAAAACGTCAAGATTTGATTTTTGAAACACTCTTGAGCCGCTCTGAGAAGCTTGTACCATGGCACTGACTTGCAGCAATTCAAAGTAAATAAATGAAGCAGAATGACTGTTCTGTATCTATAAAATAAACATTAAATTCTTGTAATTCATAAAAACAGAGGTATTTGTGCCAGTCTTCCACTCACATGCTGAAGAGGGTTTCCTCTCTATCAGCATTGTTCAAGTTTCTCCAACCGGATTTGCCCTGTTGAAATAGGCCGCGGTGTCCCCTGCTGCTGTTTCAGTCACTGGCAGGCATGACTTGGAAGCTGTGTAAACATAAGAGCCCTTTATAGTTCAAAATGTTAAAATCTGCACCTGGATTCATAAAAACACACACTCATACACAAATGCATTCATCAACCACACATCTTGCATATCCTCAAGTAGAGTAAATCGGCTCTGTTCACATTACTGCAGTTTAGTAGTTTAATGCATTAAATTTATTGCAAGGCGGCAGTAAAAGTCTTTAAAATTAAAACCTTTTGGTACTATTGATACAACAAGATACAAATTGCATATGTGTGACTCATAGACAATGAATTTTGAATGTCATGCTATTATTACAAATTATTTTCTCAAACAGTAACTTATGAAGTAATTTTCATGTTTTCAGGTACTTACTTATCAAAACATAGAAAATAAATTGTATGGGGCGCAAACAGGCCAAAACAAAAAACAAAACCCCCACATTTGTCGTTTTCCCGTCAAAAGGATATCATTGCTCATATATAATAGGACAGTGGGGCGATATTTTGAGAATGTGACCTTCCTCTTATCTGTGCGGTCATTTCCATCTCCTATTTGAAGCCCTCTGAGGAATGCTTTGTTGTCAAGGTTAATCTGTCTGAAATGGGGGAAATTCTGCTTTGGGATTTGTGCCTGTGACGATACAAAAGGAAACGTAAACTAATGATTCATTTCAATAATGTATTTTTTTCTCTCTCTTGAAGCCGGCCGTCATTTAGCAGAGGGGGATGCCTGAGGGCGCCTGGCCTGACTGTTTAATGGCTTGTAAAGGTGACAGAGGTTAAATAATGTTTCCACTCATTTAAACGCTAATTAGATGTCTAATTGTTTTCGCTTGTTTGGGTGGGGACTAAAGTTTAAAGTTATTGCGTTTGCAACAAAGGTTTATACACAGGCCGCGCCAGCAAGGTTTCGTTAGAAAGCTAATTAGGACCCGGATGTGTAATAGTTTTATGCTAGCTGCCCAACATTAGCAAAAGAAAAGCTGATTTGTTTCTTTAACAAACAAAAATACACATTCACGCAGCATGCTACTCTACCTATGTATGTGTATTATTTACATTCACAAGGTATAGTTTTAATTTTAGAAACGGTAGAGGCCTTTTCCTCGCGCGCGCGTGTGTGTGTGGTGTTGCATTACCCACCTAACGGTTTAACTGTTAAATTTTTTTCCACATGGAGTCACAATGTATCACTAAAAACGATTTAAAAAATTTTTTTTACGAAAAGCAAAGCAAATATGTTACCCGCATCAAAAAATAATTCACAAAATCTTTTAATTATTATTATTTATTTTATTTTCTTTCATGCGTGTCCAGTAGGGATAAGCAGCGGTCTGGAGGCGTAAAGCCATTCGGTGTGAGCTGAATCCGGCCGGCGGTTGTTGAAGACCAGCCAGGTAGTAGGAGTTTATTCCTTAGACTGCATATGTACCCCCGGGACACGTGATAAGGTTAGGCGAGGGTAACTAGTCGGTTAGAAAGGGTCAAAAGGGTATATTGGGACTAATTATAGGTTTCACAGCACAGAAGGCACATCAGTGACTGTGCTAATAGACGTGGTAGTGCGGTGAAACTAGTTTAAGTAACTCTGACCCCCAAGGTCAGTGACCACACACACAAAAAAAAACTTTTGACAGTCACAAGACATTTATTAAATTTATCCTCATAAATAATATCAATAGAAATGTGATGTCCATAAAGATTTCAACTGCATCTAATTTATTTATGCATCCTATTTTTTTTAACTGAGTTTTAACAATGTCTTTACATTTTTAAACACATCTTAAAATACACTGTAAAAGAGTTTTCAGTTAATTCAGAATAAAGAGGTAAGAAAGAACTTAAAAATAAAATAAAAATACCACAAAAGTGTTTTATATTTCCATTTCTGCAGATATGGTACTAATAAAAAATAGTACATAAAAACTTTCAAACCGACTTCTAAGAAAACCACTTAAAGTCAGCAAAAAGTATTTAAACCATCTAAACACTAACGACTGACAGTATACACAGGCTTTATACATATTAGTCTTTTATACAGCCTGCATGCAGCTGACTCCTTTTTGTTCTATTATAAAGGCCTATGAAGTTCTGAATAAGCATGTTAAGATACTGCTACTTTGTCTGCTTTTGGCTAGTTTAATCTATGAAAATGAATCAGAAAACCCAACTACATAAATAAAGTTGTAAAATAAATGTAGCAGAGTTCAGGTCAGTATTTATTTATGAAGTGCAACAGAGTGTAATGTAAGATGAAATGCTAAAGTAATAAAATGTCAACATTTCAGTCACAATACTGCTATTTTCTTCAGGTCTTCCCTATTTGTAGCTGTTTAATTTATACCAAACTGTGCACAACAATGAAAAGATTCTTTATATGCTGCGCGCTCAGACACAGTCCTTAGTGAACGGGTGTCCCTGGTATAATATATGCATCAGTCTAGACGTGACTTTGAAAGCCTCAGGCTGTGGAAAATTGGGGAAATTGCGCCTACTGGAGAAACTGTGATGAATTACACATCAGTATGAACTAAACATAATCAGTATGGTCGCAGCATTCAAAGATGTATTCACATACATATTGTGTGTTACATTTCCACGCATGCACATGAAATGGTACTGCCACACTTTCCAAAGGTCTGGGCCATTTTAAAAGTCAATATTTCAGTGTCATTTGCACAAATCTACTTAAATTGTGTAACCGCCGATGTGCCTCGATTCGTCATGCCAGCAGGGACAGGATGCAGAGGAGCTCCCACATTAAAAGAGCTAAGATGGACGATGCCGCCACCCGAAACATCATTTGACACTCAGCTGCATCTGGAACATCTGCTGTGACGGGCCCGTCGGGGCGGCGTTCGCTTCACCTTGGCGTGCGGAACCCTCCTGCGGTATCTGGGGACACTTATTGAAAGCGATCCAGGTAAACTAGCTGCAGTCCGCCACCTAAACAACAGAACACATGCTTTGCATATTTGTCCCTACGACGGCCTCTCAAACAGCGCGAGACCTGCTACGATTTATCCTATGTGTGATATTGCTGACGGACATTTTACGTGGAACATCAAAACAAATCCCCACCACACAGCGAGAGCCTAGATACATTTGTATTAATTCACATATGAAAAAACAAATAAAACCAACTTAGCCGTGAGGTAAAACATTGATCTTGGCTTGTGGGCAACGGGTTATTTTCTTTTGGACGCTCTTTTTCACAATGTCTAAATAATCAGTCTCAGTGTGACATCTGAGCTAGTAATATAATCCATGAAGGCTTAGGGAGAGACTGCATTGACTGCGCACACACACGTGCACCCTAACGGATTATGTCCCATCCCTAAACCAGGCTGACCTCTGACCTTAAGGGCCAAGGAAGACACATGTTAGGTGATAAGTGAAGCACAAGGCCTATTGTGCAGACAGTCTCTCTTCCCCGTTTATTGACTTCCTAAATGATCCATTATGGAGTGATTTACGAGGTTTACCGCCATACAGCCGGACACTTGTGAAGCTACTGGGTTGTTGTCTGCTCCGTTCAGCAGACATCTACACCAATAGGACCAAGCATTTGATTTATCAGAGAATGGACGGAAGCTTGCCTACATCACCTCCAGTGTTTGTTCAAAGCCAACAAAGGAGTTAGGAAGACATTATGAATGCAAGGTGTCACAGGAAGTGTAGGGACAAAACGTATACTCTGCGGGGGATACTAAAAAATACAAAAAAAAAAAATGATAGACGGTTTATACATGGACTTTTAAGTGAAATAAAAGCTTTCAACGAATTTAAAGTTCAGGTACAATTTTGGCAGCAGCTTCACAGAAAAGCAGCTTGTCTCAATAATGACCTTGTCTTTTCTATGCTGGCTAATGATTCAAGGCCATTGTGCTGCTCTGGCTCTTTGATTTCTCAGGCCTGTCCTGTACACCATGACGAGCTTCTCAACTTGGGATCATCCCCGGAGCCAAAGCCGTTACGAAGCAGAACGTCTGGTGTTTGAAGCTCTGCCTCCCCCCCCCCCTTCCGACCTCTCGGCACGGTGTAGTAACATATGAGCTCCCATGATGCTCGTCGACTCTCAGATATATTGCAAAAGAATGAAAAGAAAAACAAAACATCTTGATTTTCCTTTAAGACCCTTAACCTTCTTGACAAATGTCATCTTCTTTAAAGGACGTCTGCATTCGGCATTACAAATCTAAATGCTAACAACTGTCACACAGCAAATTAAACAGAACCTTTGCTTAATTTTCAACTTGACACGTTTCGACACGAGCGCTAAAGGAGTTCACATTTATTAGTTTATCTCAAAGCAGGTATACTTCTTATAAAATGAGCTCATAAACTGATTACGCAGATCAGGGAAAGCAACACCAAACCACTATCCTTCTGTTCTGCCCCCCCCCCCGCCACACTGTGATTTACTTTTGTTTGACAAACACAGCTCAGGTCAGACTGCAAGGCCTGTGTGCTAAACTAAAGCCTGCTAGAATAACAACATGAGATTACGTAGCTGCTCAGGTGCGGCGTATACCTTAAATTCAAGTCCACTGAAGCAAATTTCCTTTCAGATAGGTCAACACAATCACATAGCTGCATGGAGCAGTTAAAAGTCATCAGGAATTCCAGTCAGCTTAATAGAAATGGAAATAATGGTGGTTCAGCTTTGACATGATATATTTAATTTTTTTTTTTTAAAGCACACTAAAATATAATGAGTGAAAATAAAGATTTTATTTTATTTTGGAGACCAATATACTTTCTTTGTATTTTCACATTGACCCCTTCCTCGCTATTCTCAGAGATAAATAAAAACATAATCAGTATATATACATCAGAACATACCAATACAACTTTGATAAGATGCTGCAGTTGGTCTAACTTGTAAAGACTGAACATGGAAATCAGTTGTGATCATGTATTCACCGGCATCTTCCGACCATGAAGACGATCCTTTATTTAATCTGTATCAAAAAGAATTGAAGTGCTTTAATTCTGCAGCTGTACAGCGCTAAGGAGTGAAACACGGACTCCTGAGTTTCACGTGGTTGTCAGTAGGTAGCTGTTCATAGCTCAACTGTAATGTCAGTACATGAGAAGCACAATCTATTTCCATATTGTATCAGCACACATGATTGTAATGTATGAATGTAGTATTGATCATAAATCTGTAAATCTTCTCAGAGCTCAGTGACTCAGCCTGTGTCCGTTCCCTCATTGTAAACTGACCAGAGGCTGATTCGCTGGTCCTTTGATCCAGCAGCCAGGACTCTTTGTCTGGGGTCCCGGTGGTCAGAGAAAGCTACACTGAGCACCATGTCTGTGTGGTACTGTAGTACCGCCAGCGGCCGGAGCTTCTTCCAGCCAAATACTCTTATCCGGTGGTCCCAACCTGCTGAAGCCAGGAGTTTACGATCCATGCGGATACACAGCTGGGAAACCCCGGGGTTGACCAGCGTCACGCAGTCCTGCAGCTGTAAGAAAGAAAGAGGAAAAATATCTGAACAGGTGACTGTGTGCTACTAAAACACAACTACAAAGGCATTCTCGTATGTATTCCAAGCCTCGTGCTTGTTTAAGGATGGGATGTAGCATTTTTTCCTAACTGTAAATGTAACACCAAATAACCCATTTTTCATGCAAATAGAGGCAAGAAAAAAAACAGACATACTTAATAGATCAGTAAGTCAATTAATCACTACCGTCTGGGAAAATGTGGCCAAGGCAAACACCGACAATGAGGGGGCTATCAGCTGATCTGATGACTGAGGTCCAAGTGTGAGGCTGGAGGTCTGTTGAACCTGGCTGCATACTCCTGGGACTCAATCATCATCCATAAAACATTAGGGCACGAGGGCCGCGAGTAAATCTCTCGGCGACCCATTATTTGTTTTGGAGTTAGGGAGGCGTATTCTGTAAGCGTGTTACCTGTGTCGCCGTTTGGAAGAAAGCGAGAGACCATCTCGCTGAAATGCTTGTTTGCAGAGACCGTGTTGCTTTAAGCACCTCTGATGAATTACATTCACACTGAAAGGTCTGATCAGCGGAGAGAGACCTGATAAATACACTGCTGTAACATCTGCCTGCTAAAGATTAGCCACAGCCCCCTCTCCCTGTGATCAACAGCGTCCCACAGACTGTATCCATCTCTCTAAATGCGCAACATTCTGACAAATGAAAATGAATGGTGGCTAAGATGGTGCTCTGAAGGGCCCCGGTGTTGTGGGCATTCCTGGAGAAGCGAACGTGCTTTTCCTGAAGGGTAGGGATCTCCACCGGATCGCTATATGGGACCTAAACATCTGGCTGTGGGAGCTGAAATCAAACTGGACAGCGTAAAATTGACTTCATAAGTTGTGTCTAGGGAGACTAATGGTTTGGATGGGGAGGAGATGTTGGGAGAATTTATCCTGCTCCTGTTCTGGGCAGGAACCATCCACAAGCTGCATGTGGAAGACATAAGCCAGGTACTCATAGCCCAAGTGGATAAAGTGGAATGCAAGGGAGAGAAGGAGCAGGGAGGAATGTCATTGATCATAACAGCAAGAAAAGCCAAGTTTAGAAGAGACAGTGATACCATTTCACTTTTTTTCTTTTGTTAGTCAAACCATCATTGCGAGGATGAAACCGTGTGCCCACTTCGCCCAACAGAGCCAAATACACAAATACAAAGCAAACTAAGGGGTGAAAGATTGTTCTGAGTTTTGTTATTACCTCAGGTATTTGGTATGCCCCTACCTCTGTCCATCTGGTTTGCATTAGAGTCCTGATAATGATGGGTTTAAGTGTCTGTTTTTGTTTGTTTTGCTTCCCATAGTTTGTGTCAGGAAAAGGCATTTGTTTCATTAAGGGGTCAATTGCAGGCAGTAAATGGCTAATGAAGTAGTGATGGTCATTCAGCAAGGCTGCTTGGTTAATTGTTTTTACTTTCTGTCTGAGAAAGTGGAGAGGAAAAAGTAGTAAAAAGAAAAAAATGGCTGCCTTGCGCTATAATTTAGAATGAGTGATGCTCATGTGAAGCTCTGCTGGTTCCTGAGCTGCCGGCCATCAGTGTCGAGTCGCGAGGTGCTGGAGCTTGGACTGAAACATTCAGCTGACTGACTGAGAAGTAAAAGAGAAATAAAACTGTGAGATTCAATTAGCTGCCAATTTATCAATTCTAAACTTAAAGAAAAATCCAGGCCGGTTTTATTTTATTGCAATTAATTTTGTGCTGGCCTCACTTTGGGGTTAACTTTTAATTGCACTTTACCTGCTAATTTATCAGCAAATCACATCTTCCTGACAGGAAATGGGAGTTGCAGCCTAAAAGTCATATTAATTTTGATCATATAGATGATCTGCTTACACTTAGGACACTTTGGAGACCATTGTTGTTGTTTTTTTCGATAATGATTGAAAAAACAACAGGATGATTAAAACATTTTGAGAAACATTTTGACTTCGGTATTTAGAACAAAGCCATGTACCCTGATTCCAGACTTTGATTCCAGACACTAAGCTAAGCAGCTGCTTTTTCGAAAAGACAACAATCTCCTAAATGTCAAAAAAAAAAAAAACCAAAACTCCTGCTGCTCAAATGAGATTTTTTTAAACTGTCTTCTAGAAACAGTTAATTGATTGGATTTGGCTTTTTAAAAATATGACCTATTTATTTGGTCCATAAAAGTGGGCCAAATAAATAAAGCTGTGCTTCAACCGGCTCTGAGGCTGCAGATTAATTTGAATTAAAAAAACCCTAAAAAATAGTTGCAGCCCTTGAATATATTATTTCTAAATGTCAGAAAAACTCTTTGCTCTTGGAACATAAGACTATTGTCTTTTCTAACTCGATGTTCTCCGGCAGCAGCATTGTTGCTTTTGCTGTCAGGCCACACCACATCTAACTGAAAATGCAGCTGACTTCAAGTGCTGCCATTAACCAGTCCTCAGTCTCTAATGAAACCCATTAGCTCTAACCGGGGAGTCTTGGCTTGCATTATTTCCACCCCATTTTTCCTCAGATTGCTTCCTTGCTATCTCATCACAGACAGAATCCATCTTTGGTCTTCATCATTCTTTTTTCTTGTTTTTTTTTCTTCCCTTTTTGGAAACACTCCTTCCTGGGCTGTGTTACAGCATGCAGATAAACACACACAACGGGGTTTGCTGTCTAAACGCCAGATTTCTCAGCTGTCAGGAGGCTACCAGCTCTGCTCAGCAGCTGGGCCTATGACAGATCCAACACAAACTCACACTTCAGGATCCTCTTTCGTAGCATCTCACCAGAGCGAGCTGACGTTCAAAGGGAGTGTCCACTTGGCAGGTTTCACTCGTGCTTTGCTTCACTTTTTCCCCCCTTCTTCTTCCCTCCTGTCTTTAACCTTGGTCTTGGCACCAATCTTGGTGTTCACACTGATCTACTGAAATGTCCCATCATCGCTCACTCACTCGAGTCTAGCGGCTGGAAGGGTTTTCACAGGTATATCTGACACACCCTGTCCCTGAATCACACTTGGCAGTGGGGAGATTACAGCCTTTTGTCACCTTGTCTGTTAGAGCTCTGCTCTGGCTGACAGGAGATGGATGTGTCAGGTGAGCAATCCCATTCAGAAAAGATAGGAGGAGGAGGAGGAGGAAGGGTGATGCCCCATAAAAAGAGTGAAGATTTTTTTATATTGCAGCACAGCTGAAGTTGGGCTTGATTTGATCGGATCCAAAAGCCAGAACTCGACACTAGCAGTTGCAGGAATTGTGGTTTCCCAAAGAAATCGTGCAGGTGACAACAGGGGATATTTTTATATTGCTGTGTATGTGAGGAGCAGGATGTCCACCTGTAGAGAACTGTCATCAGCTCCAGCAACAGCTCACTGTCAGACACGCTTGATTTACATTGCTAATCTTCCCCTGTCTATACCCCGTTTTCCCTTCTCCAGACTGCGACTGCTGTCTTTTTCCCTCTCCAGGAGAAACCCGTCACTGCACGTGCCAATGCAGGTGAGCATCCACCTAAATGAGCGTCCATCTGGTTTAACAGCTTGTAAGTCTCACGTCTTTATACAACATAGTCTCGACCCTGACAAATTCTCAAAAATGCACACTGCACCAGAGCAGAGGGGGAAAAATGCTATGAAATGATATCAGGCTTTCCAGGTCAAGCAGAAGATAAAGGCCTCTGGAAGCCATGTGAAATACATTAACCTCCATTCCTGAGGCTATCTGTCTTTATCTGGCCTTGATAAGCTCACTTCACAGCCTTTCAGCCTCGCTAAATCATAACTGCGCTGCATTGTGTCACATTCAGTTTCCCCACCGTTTCACCAAAAAAAAGGAGAAAAAAAAAGCATCCAGCCAGCTCTGCTGCACTGGACTGTATCGCAGGGGTAATTTGTGGGAAGTGGGATGCTGTGGCACTTACAGCCTCCTCAGCCTTTATTGCAGCCTCCCACTGTGAACTACTGTTCCCTTTACTGCAGATGTGTTTTTTGTTTGGTTAAGGGGCCTCTCAGGTTTTGATATTTTTATTACCTCTCAAGGGTCATCAGTCAGGACCCCGGGCCAGGGTCCACCAACCGGCAGGTCCCCCCTGCCTGCTTGCTATGGCCACACAAAAATACTTTTGTGGGAAGAACTGAGGATAGCTGTCTGGACGTCACACTGAGCTGCACTTCAGAATAATTTAAAAGCCCCCGTTGGATCCTTTCCCTCTCCTTGTGCTTTCTGCCTGTCATACTCATCCTGGATTACACGCTGAATCAATATTTTGTTGCTCGAGCAAAATAAAGCAAATAAACCCCTCTCCTCCTCCTTTCGATTGAATCAAATCCTTCGCGGTGTTTTCCTAGACACATATTTAGGGGTGAAAAAAAATGGAGCTTTGCAAATATTTCTAATTCAAGCATTCATTTGTAAAAAGCCTCGGAAAGAATAATACCGCTTTCACTGTGCAGGAGTGTACTATATCAGCCTCAGGTTCCCCTTGGCTCGGATTCACGGGGGTTGGCTGAAAAATAGGAGCATTCCCTTTTGCTCATGAAATCAAGAGAAAATACAGCTTCAAATGAGGCGTTAAGTCTCGGAGGCGTTGGCTGTTATGTAAAATGAATTATGGTACAAGCTGATATGATCTCTTTTGGTGTTAGTGCAGATGCACTGGCATGGAATTTATTGTATAGACAGGACATATGTTTGAGAGTCTGTCTGTGTTTTAACAGAATTATGGTAAGAGGAATGTTGTATGCTAAATGAATTAAGTATGCCTTGATTTTCCTCTTTTTAAAACCAGAAAATGACACACATTTTTCTTCCCAGCTGTAATCAACGGTGACGTGAGCATATCGAGGTCTAGTATGCGATTGTGTATCAATGTTCATGTGGGTGGTAAGACTCTGGAGTGACAGCCCCAGCTTGGCCCTTGGCCCCCAGCTCTGCCAATGCTGTGCAACCAGCAGCTGATTTATGGCCCCTGGAGCCCTGCTGAGCCTCTTCCTCTTTGGCCCCTGATGTTTTCCAAGCAAGCCCAGAGAAAGGTAACACTCCTCTGCTGCTGTCTCCTCCAGTTCCTTTTTATACTATTTCTAGGGACTCTCTTGTTCAACAATTAGTTAGCAGGTCAGCTTATTTGGGGTCTTAGCTAGGGACGCTTCAGTAACCAATATGAATTAGCATGACTAGCTCAACCAAGGTAGTTGTATCCTTTGGAATACTTCTATTTATTATTAGTCCTTTATTTATCCAGGTAAAAAATCTCATTGAGATTAAAAATCTCAACTTCAAGAGAGACCTGGCATCATGTCTAAAATACCTTCAGTACTTAACCCTAATTTGGCAGAATTGTTAGTATTACTTGATATAAAGGAAAGTACATAGTGACCCAACTGAAACATCCGAACAGAAAAAAACAGCTAAAATCAAGCACAAATCAATTTAAGTCACAAATACTTAATACAGCTAGCTAAAAGCAATGATTAAAGCTATGTTTTTCTAAGTTATCACTGCGGATTAGAGGTTACTGCAGGTGTATCACAACAAACAAATTCACATTTTCACAGTTTGAGAGTGACTGACCAGTCAGATCAAACGCTCTGTCCTCTACTGACCTGCAGGTTGCTCTGTCCATCCAGGCTCCAGGAGGAGAGCGTCTTCTCAGAGGAGCCCGATACGCCCCTCAGACTTGTGGTGTCAAAGGTCAGGCACATGACAGGCTCAGGGTGGGCTTTGACTTGGCTCAACTTGGACCTCTGGGTTACGTCCCACAGCAACAGAGAGCCATTCTCGTATCCAGCTAACAGGAGAGGCCCAGAGCCCGAGTCTGGCTGAAGAGAGAAAGGAGAAGGGACAGCGAGATGGAGAAGAGGGGACAGAAAGTGAAGCATGAGTTAAGATGTGAGATGAGAGCTGTGTCGTAAAAAAAAAAACACGGAAACCACTGCGCAATGCTGGAAACTGAGAGGAGCAGAGGTTATCATCCTGGAAGCTCCCGCTGACACTCAGAGAAACGCTCCATTCGTCAGCTTGCTGCTCTCTCTTTCCAGCACTCCATTACACCACTCCTCACTTTGCTCCTCATCTATATTACTAAGCCACAGACATCAAGCATGCACAGATAGAATACTGCATCAGGTAGTGAAATAAAGCAAAACGCTGAAAAAAATGCTGCTTTTCTCGACATGTAGCTGAGATTTTGTGTTCATGTCTTCCTGACTATCTCCTCATTATGCAATGTTCTGGCTTTTTCTCCACTTGTGTTCATGTTTTATTATTTTATTCTATTTTGATCATTTTTGCTACCAATATAACTCCTCTGCAAAAAATACTCTCAAACTGCATACTCGCGATCTAAAAAGAATAAATAAATCGAACTTTCGTACAAACCCGACACATATAATCTGGCTTCACATCCATTTCATTTCCGGACGTTCCAGATCCAGCTTGAATGTTTACAACTGGTGAATCCATCAGAGTAAATCTTTCAAATCACATGAAATGAAATGAAACCAAGTGTGCAAACAGGCATCAGACAAAATAAAAAAGAATCTTCTGTGAAATATATAGAGCAATCTATGGTGACCATAAAATAGAGTTGCATGCATATTAATAGGGCAAAGTCAGCAATGTAACATTTAAAAAGAATAATAAAGCTGTGCCTTCCCACTGTTGTGAGTCCACAGATAACCTCTGAGTGCTCGCTTCCTCTACAGCAGTATAATCAAGCCGGCTCAGAGGCTGTGTGGAGGTGTAGCTGAGCTTGTAAATTATGTCTGTGGACAAGCACATAAAGGTGGGCTGGTGAAAAGTAGCTGCCTTATATAGGCACTGCTGGAGGCGAGATGTGAAGGACGAGGGAGGGACACCTGGTGAGATTTTCCCATCATCCTGCTTCCTGAAAATCAAATTTTTTCCATAAAAATACAAAACACTGTAGTCTGTTCTACCGTAAATACGTTCCTTAAAACGCCCTAATGTGGCCTGAAGAAACAGATATGTACGTATATCCTAACTCATGCCTTTACTTTAAAATACCGCCAGGCCTCCAGAAATAGCACAGTGCCATGCGGAAGGTAGGAGGGTAAGAAATATTTTCCATATGTGCAAGGAGGCCGTGTCTGCCATTTTTTCCCTACTCATGTCCAAGTCCTCTTCTCACTTAACGCCCTATATTTCTCTTCTTGCAGCTTTAAACAAATTATAGACAGAGTCGTGTATTCCTTCCAAACACATCAGCGAGGACGAACACTAAGGGATTATGAAAACAAATAAAAACACGTGAAAATCAGTGGCCCCTGCTTGCCGGCAGGGACCGGGCTAAGCGTTCCAGGCTAGGGGCCCACCGTTTCACTTAAGTGTAGGACTTTGCTGATTGATGATGTCATGGGTCAGAGGTCGGGGAACCCTGGGTAGACATGTAATTCATTATATCCTCCACAGGCCTTTCTACAAGAGGGCTCTCTGCTGGAGTGGGGCTGGGGCTCAGGGAGAAGATTCATCACCAAAGAGCAGCTGGAAAGATGGATGGAAGCTGGCTGGAGATGCAGGACCAACGGAGGAGACTTCTCTGTGTCGTCTCCAGGATGGCAATGTCATGTGACTTTCAGCCATGTTTTCATAGCTGTATTTATGTAGCGTATTAGCACGTAATTAGAGACTGATTTATTTTATTTTTTTTCCCGTTTGTTTTAGTGCACAGGACACTCGCTGAGTAGAAAGAGCAAGTAGGAATGGGACACAAAATGATCTTGGTTTATGAGATTTGCAAAACCAGTTGCATCCCAACTGTTTTAGTCTTGGAGTTTTATTAAGACTTCTAGTGAGATATACATGCTGTAAGGTGGTGTAAGCTGTGTCCTGTTTGACAATTAACACTCTGAGCGCTTTTGTACTGAATATATTAAGTATATTATATTTTATTAATATTCATTTATTCGTTTCCTTCCTTCTCTTGTCTGCTGAAACAGTGTTTAATGTTTAAAATCCACCTGCCGCTGAAGCATCAGAAACTACAACTATGACGTGCACAGGTACATCATATTGGTCAGCATAATCAACATACATAATACTTATGTTATACATACAACATATTATGTAAGGCAATAAAAATATTTACACAGTTTTCTAAAGCTCATCACCAAATTGCTTGCTTTAGGTAACCATCAATTTTGAAATGATTGTTTTTAAAGAAAGCTGCAAAACCTTAAATTTCACAATCAGACAGAATGTTTCCGCTTCTCAATTTTACCATGTCAAACAGAGTGAAAAGCATTTCATAATTCTCCTATAACCCTCTTTTCCTCTTTTTAAGTTTTTTTCTATTTTCCTCCAGAATACATATCCAGACATCTTTACAGAAAAGTTTAACGACTGTTATAGAGGTCATTACATTTTCTAACTAAGAGCTTAATTCACAAATGTGAGCAGATTAAATCACAGTTCTGAGAAAGTTCCTCTTTCTCAGGAAAAAAGTGCAGTTGCAGCCCTGAAGCACTTCAGTTCGATCTCTGGTCACGAATATTTTTTTTGATGATTTGCACATCAAAAAAACATTTGTACTTATTATTTTTGTGCAATGCCTCAGTTTACACCAGGGATGTCAAACTACTTTTAGAAACATAAAGCATGTGCAGCTCACTTTGATGTGGGCGAGATGAGTGAAACTCACTTTCAGTGTAAAAACATTTAACTACACATTTAATCCCTGACATATTTTAATATAAGATAAAGAAGTGCAACTTTATCAGGACATCTCAGGTCACTGCCCAGACTGTCTCATATTTATAAAACAAAGTTTTTGATGAAAAAAAAATTTTTAAACAAAATTTCTATTGTACATGGTGAAAAACTGTCATTAAATTGTTTACCTAACTACTTTGTTGTAATATAAATGGCTGTGTGGGGAATCCTTATCAACAGGAATAGCTGTCAAATTTATGAATATACAGTAAAAAAAGTCCAAACCTTTATGCCCTCCGTCGTATTTTCTAAACATCTCCAGTGGGCCGGGTTCGGGTCTTTGCTGGCCCGGTGCTGACCCCGGGCCTTAAATTTGATACAACTGGTTAAGACAAACAGAAGAATGCAACTTCCACTGTAACTGCCATTTAGCTTTTGTGTTCAATATTAAAATTAGTCATGTTCATTTTTTCAGAAAAGTTAAAGTAAATAGTGGTAATCTACAGGGGCAGATTGTCACAAAGCAGGGCCATAAACATCACAGACTTTACTGACAGCAACTAATATGTGCCATTTATTGGGGATGTTCTGTACTGTTTGTCCTTGTTTATTATAAGGTATGTAAATGGTCAGTGGTACTTGGATAGCACCTTTCAACTCTTACTGATCACTCAAAGTGCTATTTACACTACAGGCCACTTTCACCCATGTCTTAAACATTTTCTACCCACACACTCACCCACCAACGATGCATCACGAACAATTTGGGGTGCAGACTGGAGAATCCGCTATCATCCCAGGACCACAGCCATCATACATGAGAATTTTTATATTACCCTATATTATATAGTTTTATAGGCGTATAGGTTTTTCTGTATTTTTTGCCAAGGACAATGTAAAGGAGTCATTTACACTAACAATCTACTCTCTATTCAGCTGTGCACTGTTGCTTTCACAAAGTAAAAACATAACAAGATAGCTGGAGAAAAATGGCATCATGAAGCTAATAAATTTTCGGTGTCGTTTCCTTGTGTTGTGATTCCGGCCTAAATCACGAACAACCCTCAGACCAGTTTGTTTGCTGATGTGGCCACCACAGGCCTCGGGCAGACACTGCTTCAACATAAGGAACCAATCGCCTCCTTCGCTTTTCGTCCCGGTCTCACCATGATGTCATGGCCACGAGGCTGCAAGGTGATGAGCTGAGAGTGATGGATATCTGTATAGGAACATTTCCTTTCCCCCCGCCAGCCTCTGTTCACATTAAAAGCCTTGCACATCATATATCACTACTGTCCCCCTGGCCAAGCCTGACATCGGCACACAAGTCAAACCCACATGTGGAGGCGCTTTCCTCCTCCTCCACTCGCCATCGTTCATGGCTTCCTAGCCGATCAGATGCAGAAAACCCTGATAATAAGCTCTGTCACCTTTATGTCATAGCCCACTAAGGGCTAGGTGGGATTTTAATGGAGTGAATTGTGGCTAAATTTGGAAGAAAGCGCTGCTTAAGACTTAATCGTTTCCATAAACTCCTGCAGAGAGGTCTTAAAGGCTGACAATAAATCTGTTGGTGAGTCTGCCTTAAAAATATAGGAGGATAATCGCTTCTCGTCTAAGCAGTGGGAAGAAAAGAGGGAGGGGTGGCGAGTGCGAAGACAGAGAGAAGAGATAATTGGCAGTGGCTTCTTCCTGGAGTGTGTGTGATAGGGAGAGGCAGGGTGGAGAGATGGGGATACAGTTGGGTCCATATATATTTGGACAGAGATGACTTTTTTTTTACTTGTTTGGTTCTGTATGTTACCACAATGAATATTAAATTAAACAACTCAAATGCAGTTAATGTTCAGCTTTAATTCAGCGGGTTAAACATAAAGTTTGCATAAAAATGTGAGGAACTAACAGATTTCTTTTTTTAAACACGAGCCCTTATTTTCAGAGGATCAGAAGTAATTGGACAAATTCAATAACTGACAATAAAAATCTTATTTCTAATACTTGGTTGAAAAAGCTTTGATGGCAATGACAGCCTGAAGTCTTGAACCCATCCACATCACCAGATGCTGGGTCTTCAACAAAACTAAAGAAAATTCAAGAATATTCCACTACTTTGCTTCAATAAACTCCTGGGTTGCTTTGGTTGTATGTTTTGGGTCATTTTCCATCTGTATTATGAAACACTGACAATCAATTTGACTGCATGTAGCTGGATCTGAGCAGACAGTATGTCTCTAAACGCCTCAGAATTCATTCGGCTGCTTCTGTCCTGTGTCACATCATCAACAAACATTAGTGTCCAAGCCATCACGCTGCCTCCGCCGTGTTTTACAGTTGATGTGGTACACTTTGGATCATGAGCTGTTCCACGCCTTCTCCATACTTTATTCTTGCCATCACTCTGGTAGAGGATAATCTTGGTTTCATCTGTCCAGAGAAGGTTTTTCCAGAACTCTGCTGGCTTTTTTGTTCCAATCTAGCCTTTCTACTCTTGAGGCTTATGAGTGACTTGCCTCCTGGGGAGTCTTGTTCACTTGTTTGGCTGTTGTGAAGGGATCTCTCATCACCATGGAATTTATTCTGCGATCATCCACCACGCATGTCTTCCATGGACGTCCAGGTCGTCTTGCGCTGCTGAGTTCACCAGTGCTTTCTTTCTTTCTGTACCAAATTGTAGATTTTCCCGCTCCTAATATTGTAGCAATTTCTCAGATGTTTTTTTTTTTCTGTTTTCGCAGCTTAAGGTTGGCTTGTTTTATTTGCATAGAGAGCTCCTTTGACCGCATGTTGTCTGTTCACAGCAAAATCTTCCAAATGCAAGCACCATACCTCAAATCAACTCCAGACCTTTTATCTGCTTAATTGATAATGATATAAGGAAGGAATTACCTACACCTGCCTGTGAAATAGCCTTTGAGACAATGGCTGTCCAATTACTTTTGGTCCCTTTAAAAGAAGATGGCAGATATTAAGGAGCTGAAACTCCTAAACCCTTCACCCAATTTGAACGTGGGTACCCTCAGTAAACGGGTAAAAAAACAAAACTGTCAGCGTCCAAATATATAAGGACCTAACTGTAGCTGTTTCAGCCGTTGCTTCCTGCTGTGTCAGGTTAAGGAGGCAGTAGGCAGCATTGGAGCATTTAATGCGAAAGGCAGGATAACGTTTGTATTTTTTTCTTCTCGTGACTGAGGAAAGACCTGCCATTGTGTGTTTGATAGTGAGTGAAAGAAGGGTTGTATGCATTCACAGATGCACACAGACAGGGCCGGGTTTTCAGTCTTTTCTTGCGCTCGGAAACTCTTGAGTCACTCAGTCAGTGTAACAGATGAACATGCTTTGAAAGGAATCGGCCTGAAATGATTTACAATCACCTGGGCCCTTCGGCTTTGAAGTCAGACAGCTGCCTGTGCTGTATTACAAAGATATTATATAATTTATAATGATATAATTGATCATTATGTTTTCTGGCACTCAACGCTCAGCCAGCTTTGGTTCATAAATCAGATGATGAAAGGTGGGTGCAACAGTGAAATCAAAGGCAAACAAGAAAAAACACAAACATGGTGTCAGCAGGCACTGAGACTCTTTTCTCTACAACATCACAAACAATGTCACCTTTATAGGCTTTGCTTTTGACTTATTAACTCTAATTAGTATTACAGGGATGCTGGGCTAAGTGTGCACAGGCCAGCAGCTTGCCTCACTCTGGGGTTCAAGATGATAAGCTGTGTTTTGATTTCTGTTGCCTGTAAACTGCACAGCTCATTAAATTTATGCAAACCATCCACAGCCTTGCATCAAAACCCCCCATTCAGTCCCTCCCTGCAGCCCCAAAACCCGGAGAGTTAATAATTAACCATAAAAATAATTACAGGGTTGCGTTAATGGCTGGAAAATAAAACTTTCAACGGCAATCACAAAACAGAAAGCTGTAACTTCTTTTGCCCAGATCAGATTGGATGTACAGCTGCAGGCTGATATATGGCTGTGAACCCCCGGCCTTTCCAAACACTCTAATTACAGTGTTGGGACTCGCTGCCAGCTGAGAAGAAACGCTTGGAAAAAATGATGCAGGACGAGTTGTCGAGCTGTAAATCACGAGCCGCATCTCACGTGTGTGTTTTTTGTTTACTTTAGCGACTTGTCGTGGGCCGCTGTCCAATCAGAATGAAGCAGGTATGTACGGATGTGTGAGCTTTTATTAACAGTCATGAAACAAAAGGTACATCGTTCTCTGGCTGTCAGTGTGATTTTCTTTGTTTGGATAGTGTGACTGATCATATTGTGAATTTCCTTATTTTCTGTTATGTTTCACTGGTGGCTCCTAATTAGACCTGTGCAAAATGTTCTAAAAGACATTTTAGACAGTTTTGTACTAGACGATATCTAAGAAACACATCTCTGCATGTGAGCACAGAAGCTCCACCCTATTTTAGTTGAAATGTATATATTTATATGAGGGGCAACCAATCAGAAGAAAGTTGTCCTGAAGGGAGGAAATAGAAATAAAATAGCTCCAAAGATAAATCAGAATAATTTTGACCTATGACTCACGCAAATGTCAAAAAAGATGGGGGGCTGTAAATGAGCGGCATAGGGCCCTTTCTGAGTGTATCTGTGCATTTCTCAGTGTGTGCTGGTAATGGTGCAGAAACATAGAGTAACAGACAATTAATTAAAACATTAATTAAAACAACTCAACAATATCTTTGAAAAAAACACTTTAAACTGATGCTTACCTGCCATAGTTTTAGACACATGACCATCCCCAGCTTTTCTTCTGGCACAAGGGTGCAGACTGCAGTCTTACTGGGCAGCTCGATAATCTTGATCTGTGGAGAACACGTGACAATTACAGGTTAAAACTGAAAGGGTACCATTACATTGCAAAGAAAAGGATAATGATGGATTTTTTTTCCTGCACAAAATGTGGTGTCTCGCCATCTTGCAGCTATTGAGATATTTAAGGGGGTCAAGATAAAAAGGCCGGGGGTCACCAGAATCAGTAGCACACATCCCAAGAGAACAATGGATTTCTGTACAAAATTTCATGGCAATCTATCAGCGTTAAAATGCTTTCATCCCAATCAAGGTCGCGTTCCTGCCAAACAGGACTGCTATCTCTCACCCCAAAAGCGAAAAATGGCAGCGTATGTGTTTTCATTAATCTGTTTTCATTACTGGCACAAAATTATATATACACACAAGTTCTAATTGCCAAGTTGGAATTTGTCTGTCTTCTGCATTCAAGTAACAAACCTGCAACCCAAATCCATACTTGCTTTTTCAGGACCTCCACGGATCCAAGTCCCTCCAACCAGCAGTACAGTGTCATCCATCAGCGCAGAGCAGCCGCCTCACTGTCTATAATAAATCCTGCTAAAGGCTCACCCTGCGACCTGAGTGGTGTTTTCCTGCACACATTGGCACTGATTCTGATAAAAAATACACAGACTAATGATGATGTGTGTGCGTGCACGTGCGAGTGTGTGTACCCACACATCCTGACCAAAGCTCATTCCTTCGACATTCTCCACGCGGATGATATACACTGCTCATATTCATTCTCATTAGGCCTCAGATTAAACAGCCCTTAAAGGAAGCGATCTGTATTTTAGCGCTAAGCCACATCTGTCCTGCATGTTTACCTCTGCGTGCCTGACAAAGAGGGCCTTTAAGGACTTCTCTGTGCCTCAGGTGATCACTGTTCTTGTGTGGCATCACACTGCCCATAAATAAAACACCCACGCTATTAATTAATGTTTCTCCCGTGGCAGCAAAGCTGCTGGCAGGAATCTCACTGTGAGCAGTAAACAATAAAACCACGTGAAATAGCTTCAGATGGAAACTGCTGCCTGTCTCGGTTACATATCTAAATATCGCCCCGTATTTTGCCCGAGGCGCTGAATCATGCCATTGTGAATGCTCTGTGGCAAGTGCCTCAGTATTGTTCCTTAAGGTAATTCATTAATGGGTGTGTTTTTACTTGCAGATGCATGATAGGGATCTGACTTGGTCAGTTATGTCTGTGGAATGGGGTGGAGAGCCCAAAATGGAGTGTGGCCTGTTTTGGTCTGCCGTTTATGGGTCTGTAGGTGTGTCTCTGTCTGTGTCTGTTGGGACAATGGCATTATTGAGGTGCTGGGAGTCACAGGCGCCCTGATGCCTGGCCCACTGGACCGAGGTTAGCAGAGGCACGTTTGACTGGATCAGGTGACCGCTCCTTCCCTTTCAAGTGTAGCTCTGCCACAGAAGAGCACGTAACATGAATCTGGAGGCAATAAAAGATGGCTGAATAGCTGGCTGCCCCATCCTGCCTCACCACTCAGACACTGGCTCCACACAAAACCAAACAGGCGTGTGGGTGTAGAAAATTAACCTCAAGACAGACAAAACTGTGATTTCATTCCACCATCAGGACTGGGCTGGGATTCTTTTCTCGTTAAGCCACCATTCAAAGACAAAAATGTAAACAGCTACTTTGACTTTTAAGCAGGAACATGCTCATTACTTACTGTAAAGCACAATTAAAACTGCGCTTTGCTTTCTTAGGAATTCTCAAAGCCATGTGTTTTAGACAAAAGCATTCAGGTAAAAGAATGTTACTAACCACAACCACAATTAACCAACATTTAGCTGGTGGTCAGTACTAAGATCCTGACCTTCAAACGTGCACACTGATGCATAAAATCAAGGTTTGCTAATGATGCCATTCAGATCACAGTTTGACAGTTTCTGGCTGCAGAGGGCATGCTCATGTGTCATGTTGACACTACCTGAATGGATTCAATACGCTTATGGATCACATCAAATGCAAAACATCGGTGGAAAGATGACAGAACTTGCAACAAAAACAACTTTGAGGAACACAATTTTCCGAGAGCACACTTACGGTATCAAAACCCACAAATATGTGTGAATTCCATTGAGTTAAACAGCAACAGCAAGTCTGGTCAGGTTTATACAGGATGTGTTTTTACACTCAACTCAGACGGTTTAAACCAATTAAGCTGCTCACCCAAAAAGCCGAGCTATTTATATGCTAACGAAATCCTTCCATGTCAGTTGAAAATGAAACGGAGCATCAAGTTACTCATCAAATGGGAATTGAATTGAATGCGGACGGATGCAGTCGAATCTGCAGTGTCAGAAGTAACACTTTGCATTTTTCAGTAAGCATTAAACAACTGACTTCAGTAATTACATTACAGATACAATTACGTTGTTATTTTCATTGCAATCGGTCTTCAGTTCTATGTAACAACCAAACATGCTTCTTTCTTCCTGAGACCTTGTGCCACAATCAGCTGACTTGTGTTTGTCTGCAAATTGAGTCAAAGGCAGAAAGAGCCACAAATTAAAGCTGAGCATTTGCTGACCCCAGCCTGGCAGCCAGAGCCTGAACTTCAGCAGGTGATCTACCTGTTCATGTTTCTGAAGTAGAATCGCTGTTGTGGTCGCTTTGAGGTCTCTTTGGGCTGGCTTTCATCTTTGCTTTGTGTTCATACATAAAAACTAAAAGAAAGACTGAATGTGTTTCCTTGTTAGGACAGGGAGTTGTGTTATTGTGTGGGACTGGCCATTATGTGATGGTGCACTTCAGGTCATTTTACGGAGTAACAAGAAAATAATGCAACGAATAATTTAATGCATTACTTTCTCTGGCAAGTAATTAATCAACATACTCCATTACTTTTAAGAAAAGTAACAAGTAATAGTTTGAGTATTATATACAGTAAGTATTATACTCAATGTAATGTAATCAGACTTGCATTCCTGTGAAAATGTGTGGCAAACATTTCTAGATATTATAATAAAAAGTTGTCACACTCACTAATAGAAACTCCTCTACCTCAAGAAAAAGATTCAATTTTTAACTTAATTACCTTATATCTATAATAGGAACCTTTAAGCTTTCCCTTGTTTTCCCTCATGTCTATACAGTTACAATAGCAGATGCTCATATTAAACATAGCTGAGGTTTCAAATAATGAGTTCAGCATAAGTACAGCTAATCCCTGTGAGCCAACAGCTCAGGCTTCAGACAGTTTTGTCTACTCTTGGTTCTGTATCATATTATATGGTAAGACATCAGTGAAAGCGGATGTTCTTAATATAGTTCTCTCAAGTTCACACCTGTTGTTCAAACTTTTTATTCACAAGGCTCGGACAGTAAGAAGTAAAAAGAAGCTTAAAAACAGCCAAAGGAGCTAAAATGTCTCATTTTAGACTAAGAATGGACTGAAGGAATTCCAAGGCTTAGTATAGGACAAGTATCATCTGGATCTATGGATCATGAAAAGTAACTCTTGTGGAGACCAGGAATAAAAATATTGAACTGGAAACAGATTCCCTTTAGGTTCAGAGATTTAGCATATGCCAGCATGTGCTGATAAAGAGGCGGGGGATGAACATGGATTGTAAAGACAATTGAATGTTGACACTGCTGATGTCTAACCTCCTCCGTCTGCTCCCCAGCGTAGGCCAGAAGGTAATTTGCAGGGCTCATCTCTAGAAGGGAGCACTGACAGTATCCAACACTGCCAGTCCGCACAGACTCCACCAGCTCACTGCGACCTTCACTCACGTCCCACCGGCAGACCTGCATGTCCCGGCCCTGACTGCGCCACCAACAGGAAGAGCGAAACCAGAGCTGAAAATCTGCAGTTATTCACTATTATATACTTTTTAAAATCAAACAGTTTGCATAGAATTAAACCACAACTGACATACTAACAATATTTCTTATTCACAAATCCTTGCTAAGAAAATAAAGGTAAGAACCAGACAGCTGAGAGAGGTTTACCTGATGAGTGCATCTGCTGACTGCAGTGTGCTGACCCAGATGACAGAGTTACCAGAGTGAGCTTCTATGATCTTCTCTGCCCTCCTGCTGTTCAGGTTCCAGATATGTATGGCACCCTTTCCTGACCTGCAAAAACAAGGATGCCGCTTTGTAAAGGATCTTTAATGATCATCACATACATAGAACCTTACACTAAACTGGTTCTGCTTTACAGTAGCTACAAAAATGGTAAGATTTACTCTTGTTCAAAGAAACTAACATTCAAAAATATGAAGGAGCAAATCGTGGCTCACCCAGAGAACAGGAGGGGAGTGCCCTCTCCTTGGCAGCTAAAGTGAAGTGTGTTAAGGGGTCCGCCTGCCCCCCTCAGGGTGTAAATGGGGGATGGAGAAGGACGAGACATCCTTTGGTCAAGCAATCAAAACGTGGCAGAAAGAAGGCTGCAAACTAGCGCCGCTGCGGTCACTGTAAAAGAAAAACATGAACATGAAATCTGAATGTAACACGTGACAGTAGTGTATTCTGAGGCTGATGGCAATAAAACGCTTACAGTCCACACTGGATTGCTCCACAAATACCTCTCAGAGACTGCACAACGTCTGATAAACGTATTTTATGCAAAACAGGATAATTGGACACATTTTAGATGAACAAAATAGAAATGAAGTGCACACCTAATATGTCAAATAAGCAAAAACCTTTTATGCACAAACACTGAGCACGGGCCTCCTTGAGGTGCTTCACCCTTTCTCTTCCACACAGCAGACAGATGTTTTATACACTGTCTGTATTTTCTCCATTGTTAGTAGCTACAGACCCTGTGGCTCTCTTTCGGTCTTCCTCCTTCTAGTCTGCGTGAAAACACCTCTCTTACTCAATATGTCATATATCACCACTTCTGACAGCTGAATTACTGTAAACACAGAGAGCTGAGCTTCTCATTCCTCTTGATCTACAGCCGTTGTCCCAGAGGCAGAGGTAACAGCTCGGGCTTTTAAGTTGTTTGTAGGCTGGGTAGCTGAGGAAACCAACCTGACCACAGGCATGCTGCAAGGAAATGATGCTTCAACACTGAACAATCACATGTGAATGGCTGATATCACAGCTAATAAAATGCTATCTATGTTTAAAATCATGGTGTCAAACTACATGAAAAGACACTTGCCAACACAAAACTTAAGGATGCGCCAACTGGGCTATTATTAGTATTTATGTTTTGCACAGGCATGTGGCCCACGTATATGTAAATGGTAATTGGTAGTTCTTATAAAAGTGCTTTTTCTACCCATTCACACACATTCATATAAGCACTTTTTTCTATGCTTTTTCTACCTAAGTGCTTTCTGTCTCCAATAGATGCATCGGAGAGCAATCAGCACTACAGCCACCCCTGTAAGCTTACAGGCATTCCCATCCAAGTACTAACCAGGCCCAAACTTGCTTAGCTATTCCCACATTTCTCTGCCTTAATTTATTCAGTATTTGTTGTGATTCGTTCCTCCATTTTTTAAGTAAAACAAAAAGATCATCATTAAAAAATTAACTGCTTTTCATCATCACCTTTGAACTGGGTTCAGAGAAGTGTATCTTTCCCCTTGGCAAATCTGAGATGATCAAATGAGAAGCTTTGGATGAGGTGACACAGAATTACCTTTTTCAGCCAGTGTAAAAGCGATATGACATAACAGGTAAAAATCAGCCACTGACATTATCTATCCACCTATCAGCTGATATGTCCCACTTGTGTCCAGTATATTGATTGCAGTTAGTATAGGGAAGAACACAATGTTCTGCAAGAACACATTTACTCCAAATATGAACCAAGATATATAATAGTAAGAGTCACATGCCCTGACAGAGCCCTGATTTCAGTTTCATAGAGTAAATCTGAGGATACACAATGAAAGAATGGAGTCTACCAAAATCTACAAAAAAGTAACATAAGTTCTCTATAATGCTTGGCTGCTACAGCAACTGATTAATGGCATTGTTTTCCAAAGCATCCCCACAGGTACCTAAAACTGGAAGCCTTATTCTCCTGCCCCGACTCACTCCCCTCCCCTACTTTTACTTATCATAACCCTTGCTCTCTGCAATCAGCAGACACTGAAACTGGAGCCCGAGGCATTCAGGAGCAGCTCATTTCAGGAGGTTAGTGGTTAAATTGTCCATGTGAATCTGTGAAGCGGAGCGACAGAGACCCCCGATCAACCTCCCTAATTAAGCACATAACAGTGTAGTCCCATGTTCTAACAATGACGGTTATTTCACCAGCTGTACTATTGATTAATATATAAAGCAGAAATTAAAAAAAAAAAAAGCATCAGCTTTTTTACCCTGTAATTAAGTTGGTCTAATAAATTAATACATTTCAGAAAAAGTAGGAAATTTTCATTCATTAAAAAGAACTTTATGTGAATTAAGTGCTCAAAACTTTCTGAGCATAATTCCTGCAGGTGTCCTAACTTTTCACAATAACTTGCAAACCCTCTGTGTGTCTGACAGCAGTGTGGAACAAATGTTACTGATGCATTATTATGACAAAACTCAACTGCCTGAAAGGTACCTAACAAAGGCCGACAGACTGCTTGGTCATGCTACAACATCACACAAAGGCCTTGAGAAAAGAGCAGGAGAGGACTCAAAGCCTGGCGGACTGGCACAGTATCCAGACTGAAACTCAGCTGGATCTGGAGCTGTACAGAACTGAAAGCACAGCAACCAATAAGTGCAAGACATTTGTGGAATCTCCAACGACAAGATTGAGACTGAAATTTGGAAATGTTTAAGATACTGACCATTAATGTCACACTTTTCTCGGAACTGAACCAACAGAAACGCCTTAAAGCAACAACTGCACAAACTTGTTTTGTATGGTATGAAGAAGATGGCAGCAGTGTTTTTATGGGTCTATCAGTGAAGCTGCTCCTCCTGTGAATGGGTGGGTAAGACTACATTCCTTAGTCCTGGGCCTGTGTGAGTGTGTGACAGGGGGGGGGGGCTAACCCTGGTAACAGGTGGGTTATGCCTCCCTTATTGTCCTCTTCCAGTGTTGAGCTGCGAGTCACACTGAGACCTGAAACTGGCTGTTTTCATTGGCTTGCTGTTTCGACTCGCAGAACTTTCCACTAGCGGCTGCAGCTCGCCGTCACCTAAAAGACAACAGCCGGAGTCAGCGGCGGACACGCGCTTTGCAGGGGCTCGAGAACTGCAAAAATAAACGCACATCCAAAGGATGAGTATAATGGCCATTTTCCCCCAGCCACTACTTCCTCAGTGAGGTTTTCCAGGCGTCAGCATTTCCAGTCGCTGAACTGGCCCAACAATGGGCCTGCTGTTGCGGCTGCAAGCGAGTCAGCTACAAACCCAAACACAAACATGCAGGCAGCTCAGGAAGGGAGAGAAAGACACTGTAAACAAACAACATGGTGACTCGAAGTCACCAAAATGTATTTTCAAGAAGGAAGCAAAGCAAAGGGGGGGATCTGCCCTGGCATTTTTCAAGCCAGTAATTTTCACTTGTGAATGCACATCCGCTGTAGTGGTCGAGCTGCAGTAAAGCTGGCAGCAGGATCAGGTCAAAGAAATGCAGACGCAGGTCAAAGAAATGCAGACGCAGGTCAAAGAACTCAAAATTTACTGGGTTGCTTTTTTTAATAAACATAAGAAACCTTCATAAGATGAACTATAAAAGACAGGAAGACTCTCTGTGTGGCCATTGTTTTATTAAGCATGTTCACAATGAAAAAAAGAATAGCTACACCTAATTAAACCTGTGTATCGTGCACAAGAATACTAAATCAGGGAGACTGATTAATACGCCTGAGCTGGTTTTAGGAGCCAGCGGGAAGAGGCAAGAGAGGACTGAGGCTCCTGCTGGCCCTGTAACAGATAAGACAGCTCTGGGTAATCTGACTCAAAGTCCACGGATAAAGGCAGTTTGTCTCTTCTTGGGCCGTCTGTCCACACCTACAGGGTAATTAGGCCTAATTATGAGAGAAAGGTCCGCTTCCCCTTCATGTTATTAAATGAGAGCCAGCCTCGTCCGCCAAGAATCTCTCAACACCAGCAAGGGGCTGGCGACCTTCAGATCAAACACAGTGCCTATCTGTGCCCCCCTTTGACTGCACCACCGCCCATTACCCTCCTCAGCATCACTGCACATACGAAGAGGGAGGGGACACACAGGACAGTCGTTATGATATGGGGCATCAAAGTTTTTCTATTTTTTGTTTTTCCAGCAGAGTTGGAGGGGAGAGTCCTGCACATTCCTCGCTTGGTGCTGTATCACGTGATCGGACGCTACCCTCCCGAGCTTCTGAACTTATGGGATTGTGCCATTCATAAATATAAAGAGCAGGCAGGGAAGGATATACTGATCACAGGGGTTGATGATGGGACCTTTTATAATGCCCCAGCTTCACAAGAGCCATTATGGAGCCATGGAATCCCAAGATCCCGTTCTGTGATATGAGCCTCATCAAATATGAGATCTGAGCTGCATGATGAAAACCCAAAGCAGATTACACATAGCTCAAAAGCTCCAGTCTAGATGTGCCCTCAATGAAAAACCTACTTTATGACCTATCAAACCAGTAATATTCCTTTTCTTAGCCAACAAAGGTCAAGAAAAAGTTTCCAGATTCTTCTAAGGCCACTACATCATACCTCAGCTATTAGTCATACTTCACTATTAGCTGTTTATCAAAGGCAATGCTCTTATCTGCTGCTTCCCTGCTTTTTCTGGTCATGATGGCATTTCCACCTCGCTTGTTGATCAGTGGGTGGTGAGCTGATTCTACAACCATTAGTCAGCCCTTCTTGCCTCAGCCCTCCCCCTTTCCAACTAATACAGGTCCTCCTGAGGAGGAAACCAATGTGCCAAATAGAGAGCGAGCTCCATTATAAACATGCAGCTAGAAAAACAGAATGGGAAGTGGCAAGGAAGACACACACCCTTTATTGTGTCTTGGTGGGGGTAATCTGGACTGGATAAACAGCCCAGCGTCAGATAGTGGCTGAAGTCAGACACAAGTGCACCAACACCCACTGTCAGTCACAGATCCAATGAGCGGGAAGAGGCAGCATTGTTCGCGTGAATGGCGTGAATGCTAAGCAGGGGCCACTGCAGATAAGGGCTCAATGCCCTGTGGGAGTCACTGATGCAGGCACTGATGGAGCACCATGTCAGAGGGTCCTGATTTAGGAGGTTCTGACTGTGGTCAACAGGTACCAAGAGCCTTATCTGTTTGCATTATCACCCATTTCCTCCATCAGGTCATTTGCCTGGGCACTAGAGGAAAAAGGCACACAAGAGGGTCGACAGCTCGAGGGTCATCATACATCAACGCACATTTTGAGTGTGATCACCTTCGGATATATGGGGATTATGCTGTCAACGCAGCAAATATAGGAAAACAAGTGCATTCTTATTGTGCTCTAATTCAAAAAAGACATCATGCATTGAGGGTTGGGGAACACAGGAAACAGCAAGTTGTTACACTTTGTCAGACTGCACATCCTCCACTCCTTCAGCTGTCAGTCAACTTCAGGGGCAGCGATGAGTGACTGAATGCACAAATCAATGGTGAAAAGTTTGACAACGGGATAACTAGTTGTAGGTGGTGAACGGCTCCTGGAGTTCAACCAGAACGGACTCTTAAATGTGCCCGAGTAACAAAACACCATTTACAACACCTGTCCAGCACCTGTGCATTCCTCAAAGGCTGTATAGGCTCCATATTCATTGCTTTTCTAAAACAATAACTAACTTTATAACCTGTAAATACCAAAAAAGAATTTCATAGATGATATGTCATAGACACATATGCTCATTAAAAAGAATTGATTTTAAAAATGTGATTTCTCCTTGACTTATTTCTCACACTCCATTCTTCAATAAATAAAAAAAATGTATAAATATTTATATAAACCTCCCTCACAACTAATTCCAACACGTCACGAGGAACATAAGCTGTAGCTATCACTACAAACTTCGCTCAAAAAAAATAGTGCTTTTAAGTACCCTTCTGACCTACAGGAATGGTACACCGTGTATTTTATCCACAAGAGTGGATCCACAACAGAAATATAGCTCTCATGCTAATACACTCAGAGGGCAGATAAGAAGCTGCCCTCCACGCAGATGCTGGACTTCACATCCGGGATTTCCGTTATTCGTTATCTACTGAAGGAGATATGTTACACAAGCCTTTGTTAAAATCTAAAATACTGACTTTAAACAATGTTTGGAGGTGCTTTGGTTTCTCTCGCGCGATATTAGTAAGAAACAGGCTAACGTTAGCAACGTGGCTCGAAAATAGCCCTAATAAACATTTTTAGATGTCAGGAGTTATTGCTGGGTATAGTGAGTACACAGTTTATGAAAAGAAGTAGACGCTTTAATGAATATTGTTAAAATACCATTTGAGCGAGACACCGGTGTTTTCACTGCAGCTGTGGGAGAGGCGATACAAAGCATGCGCCGCATCTGAAGGACCTCTATTTACAGAATATGAGCTGTCCGTGAAAGTGCCTGAACAGAACAGTCATTCATATTTTCGCTCTCTCGCTTCCACTTTGCTTTTGAAAATTAAATCAGAAGAGTGCTTATTAATGTGGCACCCTGTACCTATGTACGACCCTTAATAGGTCTATTTCATACTGAACATGCCGTTCTCAAGAAATCTCTGTACATTAAGACGTTAATGTTTCTTTATGTAAAAAGATTACTTAATTTTTTAGAGCCACTACATTCCCTATCTAAAAAAGCGAAATATGGAACTTTTACAGCCTTGCAATACTACATGAACAGGGGAGTCTTTATATATTTTTTTCACCCTTTTTCAGTCTAATTGAGAAAGGGAGACAGAAAACACAGGGCCCTAATCCACAGAGCACACAGAGCCCTTTCATGGGAGTGCTGGGAGAGACCTTTATTTGTCCATTCCTATCACGGAGAAAGCGGGGTTTCAAGGTTGGCTAGGTCTAAGCTGGAAGATTAGATGAAACAGGAGTGTTTTAAACCTCTTCTGTGGCCATGGATTAGGGACAGTCAATCCCCCTACACTCCAAAAATGAAACAATACAGAGTACAGGTGGCTCAGTGGAAGAGAGTGCATAGCCTAAGAAAGAGAAGAGAGAGACTTACATTCATTTAACTTGAAAAACGGAGGGAAAGGGGGAGAAAATATCTCTATACACTAGAATTTATTTGCAGACAGACTAGTGTTTGATCGAGTAAAAACATGTAACATCGTTATAATTACTTAGGAGTGCCAGTGCACCTAATTAACTAATGCAAAGGGTCATTTACACAGGTACTTCATGGCATACATGAAGAGAGTGTATGTCAGTTGTGAAGCAGTGAATGTTTGCACCAATTAGTGCAAATGGAGGTGGCAGTAACCCCTCAGCAGGAGGTGGGAGCAAGAGGTGTCCCCTGCCCTGCCTGGACAGATATCATGGCCCACATTATCATCAATTATTCCTGGCATCTCATCTTACCCATGAGCCGGGTGGGTGCAGGGGGTCAATGCCAGGGTGCCCTCTGCAGCAAGTGGCCTGGAGTCCACATGGAGAGGGTGATAGGGTGTGCAGTGTCATCCGTCCAAACCAAGAGGCCCAGTAAGGAAATCCCTGGAATCCCACTCCTGTTCCAGCTGGGGCAGCAGGTCACTTTACAGCTCATCACCAAATTAGAAAGGCTGGGCAGCAGGCAGACCACAGACAGACTGAAATAGATGGGAGTACTATGATTCTGTCTGTACCCTGGGACCATAAAGTAATGGTTACATGGTTTAGGTGCGGAGATGGACTCCATAAGGAGAGTGATGAGCCTGAGGAGAGAAAACAAAGACAACTCATCCCAAGACACATTACCTCACACTACACAGTATTTTTCCAGTGGGTGATAATTAATGTGAAACTGTTACATACTTGATAGAAAGCAAAAAGCGTGCAAAAAAAAAAATCTGCTTAAAAATAGTTCAGCTCTTAAGGAACTGTGTTTGATTCAGTTTGTGCAGGCAGTCAGAGGAGAAACCTGATTGTGTTTACTGAATGTAGTGCACTCTGTTAGGTCAGTTTAGCTGGGAAAAATGAAAGGACTCGATATATTGTTATAGCTTGTTACATTGATGTAAAGTCTTTTTTTAAAGTTATAATGTATCGAAGGAGATGTAGCATTTTTCTTAGTCTGTCTCATTATATAAACCTTATGTTTGTGAGGGGCATCCAATCAGAAAAACACAGGGAACGAAAAGTGACATAAAATAGTTTGACAGGTGGATGAACTGAGGAGCTGCGACAAGGCCCAGTATAAGGTAAATATGGACTATTTTGAACTGTCAAGCATGTTGAGTTCCTCTAGTGGAGCCCAAGAATAAATACAGTGCTCAGCATAAATGAGTACACCCCCTTCAAAAAGTACAAATTTATCAAAGTAGCTCAATGAACAAAATAACAATTTTCCAAATTTTCACAAGGCTGAGTTTTACTGAACACTTGTTCAACTCCATAACATGAAATTAAGCTTAATAATATAACTTAATCTTAATCTTGACTAAATCTTCAGTTTTACTAAAATTGGTGGAAGCAAAAATGAATACACCCCACAACAAAACTACTACATCTAGTATTTTGTATGGCCACCGTGATTTTGAAGGACAGCACCAAGTCTTCTAGGCATGGAATGAACAAGTTGCGACATATTGCAACATCTTTTTCCATTCTTCAAGAATAACCTCTTTTAGAGCCTGGATGCTGGATGGAGAATTTCCCACAGGTGTTCGATTGGGTTCAGATCAGGAGACATACCTGGCCATTCAATCACCTTCACCCTGTTCTTCCTCAGAAATGCAACAGTAGCTTTAGATGTGTGTTTTGGATCATTGTCTTGTTGGAAAAGTGCACGACAACCAAGTGCACGAAGTGATGTCATCATCATCTTCTTCTTCAGAACAGAGCAGTATATTGTTGAGTTCATGATGCCATCAATGAAATGCAGCTCCCCAACACCAGCAGCACTCATGCAGCCCCACATAAGGACACTACCACCACCATGTTTCACTGTAGGCACCATGCATTTCCCCTTGAAATCCTCACCTTTATGACGCCATACAGTTTTGAAACCTTTAGTTCAAAAAACAGTGATCTTTGTCTCATCAGTCCAGAGCATAGAGTCCCAGTAGTCTTCATCTTTTTCAGCATCGGCCCTAGCAAATTCTAGGCGTGCTTTTTTGTGCAAGGGCTTTAGGAGAGGCTTCCTTCATGGACGATACCCATGCATGCCATTCCTCTGCAGTGTGCGCTGGATGGTGTCACGGGAAACGGTTACTCCAGTTTGGCTTTCTACTGCTTTAGCTAACTGCAGTGAACTTCCATGGTGATTTTCCTTAACCCTTCTCATCAGGAGACGCTCCTGTTGAGATGTTAACTTCCGTGGACGGCCTGGATGTCTCTGTGAGATGGTTGCACTTCCATCTTTCTTAAATTTTTGGATCACTTTTGCTACAGTATTTTGACTGATATGTAAAGCTTTGATCTTCTTGTAGCCCTCACCTTTTTGTGTAAAGAAATGATTTCCTTTCTCATATTTTGTGACATTTCTCTTCCATGTGGATCCATTGCTGGCAGCATGAAATGGGAAGGGCTTTTCTTTGTTAAGTAATGCCCTTTTATCATCCCGTCTGCTGGACACCTCTTAAATGAATCATTAGACTCACCTGTGGTTGAATGCCTGTTAATTTGAATTTTGCAGTCTTAAGTGTGGCTTTTCTCCTAAAACTATAATTGGGGTGCACTCATTTTTGCAACATGGGCTTGAATGAGTTTGTTGGGAAAATCATTTTTTGTGTGTGCAAATTAATTTTGTTTGCAATCAATTTGTGGGACTATTTTGTATTATAGTATCTCATAGAAAACGTTGATTCTGAAAGGAAACTAAAGGTTTTCTGACAAATGTAGAGGGGTGTACTCATTTATGCTGAGCACTGTATATTGAGTTAGAAGTGAGCATGATAACTCCCATTTAATCCCTGAGACTGGGAAGTGAGGAAAGGCAGATTTTATCTCTGGGTGGAAGCAGGACAGCTTTTTCCTCCAGTGCTAAAACAAACGTTATTGCTCCAGCTCTGAATCAAGAGTCGTATTGATATTCTAAAAAACTGGGCAAGAACATGAATAATCACTTTTCCCAAAATGCCAAACATCTATTTCAAGACACGGTCTATCTAATGATTTGCCTCATAAATGTGGGCACCAATGAAAGCCTCCATCAGCAGCATCTGTAGGCTGCCTTTAATTACAACAGCAAAAGCGAACTGGAAAAATGAAGGTAAACTTTAACGTTTTTTATGTGTGCTAAAAAATAGCCAGTAGGATTTTGGTATTAAAACACTGTTGTTACCACCATCTTTGCCGTCGGATTATTCTCCCAGTCTCTCTCTCTTTTCTAATGTCCCTGTTTCTCTGAAAGTTGCTGAAACTTTGGCATGTGCCATTCTTGTGGACTGATAGCAAAAAGCAAGGAGTTAAAAGTATCTTCTAAAGAGTTACACCGAGAACATTTTGACAGAGCAGTTTTTCTCCTACTCTCACGCTGAAATGAGAGCAGTGTTGGTGGACAAGCATGCACGGAGTTATCAGAACAGAAGATACGGTGAATGGGAGTACGTGCTCAATGCAAGTGTATCATAAAACTCGATGCTGAGGCCAAGCTTCCCCGGCTTGTGTGTGTGTGCGTTTTGTTTTTTCTCGGGCATCTTTGCAGGTGTGAGTGGAGAGATCTCAGAGAGGGTGAGGAGTGACTGCCTTGCCTGTCACTTTGAGGATTAGACCTAAATGCAACTCTAATGCCATATCAGCACTGCTAAACCAACCTCCCTTGCAACAGTGAAGAAGGGGAGGCAATCAGTGTCTAAAGTTAATATTCTTATCACTTATTTTTTAAACTCCCCTTTAATGATGAAGCCATTTTTCATGGTCATCTCCAATAGGAGCATCAGGAAGAAAAATGATTATCTCTGACCCCTACATCTCATGGAAACTCCAACATTTGAGCAGACAAGCAGTTGATTCTCTTTAAAACAGAATTAATAATAAAGGTGACATATTCAAGATAAGGACACACTGACACTTTATTGTCTTACAGAGCAGCTCAGTCGAAACGAAACCAAAACATTAATATCCTTGAAATTCCAGACAGACGGAAGCTGCCCTTTTCGTTCTGCTAATGAAGTGTGTGTTGTGACCAAGATCCCAAACCTGCAGACGAAAGGTACTTTCAGTATCTCCAGATTATGTTAAATAAACCCTGAGTTGACTTGAAATGATGTCCATTTTGTTCAGTAGATAGTTTGATGCAAAGGAAATGTGCAAAGATGCCAAAATTGAAGGTAACACCTGTAGCTGTTGGTGTCAAAATCCTTAAATCTTCATAAGAAAGAGTGAAAATCTGATCTACACTCAACAAAAATATAAACGCAACACCTTTGTTACTGCTCCCATTCC